AATACATTGTTTGGTTGCATTATTTTATTTAATCCATGGATTGCTTATACCTTATATATGGTCTTATTTTATCCCTAGTAAATGGAGGGATAACTAATCCAAGGTTTGTTAAACCTTGGATAAGACCCCTAAATGACAAAATTATCCCTTTATTTATTTTCCTAAATTTCTTTTATAATTTAATTTTCTTTTTATTTATATTGAAATAATTATAAATGTTCTTTTTAATTCTCCAAATCCGTTTAGTGTAATTTAATGATTTCATTAATATTTTTTTCTCCTTTTTTTTTATTCAATGTAGTTCGTCGATTAATCACTTGGAATTTTTTTTTTTAATAAGCTTTAACTATTGAACAATATAAGTAGTCTTAAATCTATGTTAAGTTTAAGATATACTTTACCAACAAAAAAAAGTGGTACGTCATACCTCAATTTATATATATATATATATATATATATATATGTATATGTATGTATATGTATGCATATGTTTAACGTAACTAGTTAAATGAAATAGAAAATCCTAAAAAAAATAATATTGTCCCACAACAATTTTGATTAATTATTATCCGGGTTTTGGTATAAAATTGTATAAGTATATTTTTAGATCTTCATTTTTGATAAGTTTAAACTTTTTTGTCAACATCCGGTTGCCATATACAATAATTATACAGGTTAAAATTTGTAAAAATAAATAAATAAAGATTTAGCATTTTTATTTTACTATGAATTTTATTCAACTGTTGCATAGTATTAAATTCTTGTTATTAATTATGCACAAAAAAGAAAAAAAATTGTTTCAATTTATATAACACACTTTTTCTTTGTTGTTATTCTCTAAAAAAAAATTATTGTAGTGTTATGGTCCGATTATCTACCTTGACTCAATTACATGAAATAAACAATCTCATAATAACACAAGGATATAATAGGAAAGATTTTTTTTGTAGAGTTTTAAATCAAACACAAGATTAAGTGAGAATCAATGAACCAAACGCTTGACAAAAAATAATCCCTGCACTACTAATCCCTGCATTACTAATCCCTGCATTACTAATCCCTACATTACTAATCCCTGCGTTATCAATATTTGTACCAAACGACCCCTAAGAGTACTAAAAGAGAAGTGGTATATATAAATAATTATTAGTTAGTGACAGTAGCAAAGTGAGGGAAGTTATCCTAGTTTATAGTTGATGTTAATTGAATGTGGATGAGAGTTAGACATAAAACATGTTTGTTACAAGTGGAAAATTTTGTTCCCGTGTGGTAGAGAGATTATTTCTAATTCGTATGGTTATTGTGTCATGTTAGTATTTTTACAGTCAAAATTTACTTACACAAGTTTACACATTTTAAGTAATATGGTACTTATAAAGAAATTTGTAAGGTTATAGTGGACTACTTTACTAGTGTGACCTCTATATACGTATGTATGTACAAACATGTAGAAAAAAAAATTAAAAAATAAACATTTTTACTCATTTAGAGATAATTATAATTAATTGTCCAAAAATGAGGATAATTCATACAGAAACTAAATGAGTAAACTTAGTTGGAGGCTTGAAACAAAAACTTATGATATGTTTGATGTGGCCTATAGGTGAATAAAGTGAGTGCAAATAAAAATATCAAGATTCAATTTTTTGTAGAATCGAAAATTCTAAAGCATTATTTTTGTATTTATTTATTTGTCTAAATGTTGGTGGACAAAATTATCGCGTAGTAATTGTATTGATGGAAAATAGCAGGTACTTGATAAAATAATTCATGTTATATTGGTAAATTGAACTTTATACCACTATTACCAACAACAACAACAATAAAAAAGTTTTTGTTTATGGTATAGAGAGAGAAAACATCTTTTTGGATATTCAAATTTTTTCATGTTTGGTTTGTCAAAATTAATATTTTGAAATATATTTTATTTAGAAAAAAATATTCATTAAAAATAAGGACAATGATTTCCCTAATAATATTAAGTATATACCGAAAACAATGACCCCCCCCCCCCCGCCCAATTATCGTCTCACACAGAAAGAAGGAGCATCAACCCGACCTGTAGGTCCGTAACTCCCACTCCTTTACCACCCCACCCCCTACCACCCGTGATCCTCACTTGGCCACTCCACCCTTTCATAATGTTTTCCTAGATTATATATAAATATTTTTAGAATAATATTTTTTTTTCTTATTTACCAAACACAAAAAATAAGTAAAGCACTCACTTATTAATTAATTTCAAGACAAAGTCTTTCCTTCATACCAAACACACCCTATCTTATGAGTCTCATGATATAGTTGTGGTTTGGCTTAAGTCATACACCGCCCCCTAAAGTTGTCCGCATAATTCACTTAGACACTTTAACTAGGGCTTGTACCTATCGAACACCTTGACCATTCTGAATTTGAACCAATTAGACACTTTGTGCATATGTGGCACAAAGAGTGGGACTCACGCCTTATTGGCGCGTGAATCATTTAATCAAACACATTTTCAACCTTTTTTTCTCATTATTTTTTTTTAAAAAAATAACAATCTTTTCCAATTTCCTGTCCTTCAAAATTGCACGACCCCTGCTGCTCCTATTTCTTCATAACAATCCACCATCAACATTTTTTTTCAAATTTACTTCTTCTAAGTTTATACTTAAATTTGATAAAAATTCCAACGATGCAGGCAATAAGAAATCCATACTTCACTTTATTTCTTACATTTCAAGCCCTAATCTGTTGTTTATCATATTTTTATCCCCGTTAATAGTAATTTTATTGGAGCAGATAAACCCTAGCTTTGTTGTACAGAAGGACACCTCTTCATTTTATTTTTTTTAACTTCTTGTCAATTATCATTGTATTAATTTTTCAGATTCAGAATTATATTCTGCCGTCATTTTCGCCGGAAAAAATGAAAACTACCATCCACATTTTTTTGCCAGAAAAAACGAAGACTACTATCCACATCTCCTTTACCAGAAAAAATGGAGACCATATACCACCATCCCCGATCCACACCCCTTCTTCCTCCACAACAAAGCAGAATCAAAATTCGAAATCAAAATTAAAAAAGGAAGAACATATTTTTTTAAGAAAAAAACAGCATCAATTTAAAATAGGAATAAAAAATACGGCATAAAGAGAAACAAAAATGGTGAATTCATACTTAGTATATGTTAAAATCTCAGTTTTTTTTCAAGATGAACAATAACAATGGTGGACAAGGGATATCTTTTAGGGAAAGAGAAGAAGGGGGAGGTTTGGGGTGGGTGGGGGTGCGGCGGGTCGGGTGGGGGTGGTTTAAGTAGATTTTTCTTTTTTTTTAGTTGAAACTCTTTTCTTTTTTTTTGGATTTAGATTTTTTATATTTAAATTTCATTTATTTAAAATAATTAAATTAAAATGTAACATGTCATTGTCAGAAAAATATTTGATAGGTATTTATTTTTTAAGATTGAAGTATCTAATAGGAAAATGGATGTGTTGAGATGTCTAAGTGAAATATGCGAACAACTTTAAAGGGGCGTGAATGACTTAAGCCTTGTGGTTTAGTTGGGAGACTATTTCTGACTCTTCATGTGGTCATAGTGTTAGCATTTTTCAGTCAAATCAATTCACACAAAATCACATTATTGTACTAAAGTTGTAAATTTATTGGACTATTTTATCAACACCAACAGAAAATTACAACGTAACTCTTCGAAAAGTCAAAAGAAAGTAACATTTTAAAGTAATTATAGTAATTACCTATCTTATAAATTAACTGAAGAATACTTCATTCAAAAAGAAAATGAGTATGATAATTGCTATAGTTTGGAGGCTCGGAAAAAATACTTATGATATGCAGTTAACACTATGACCTATTGATAAATGAAATAAGCGAAAATAAGGTAAATCGAGGTTTAATTTTAATAGAAACGAAAAAAATCAAGGGTGATTTTTTCATTTATCATTTGTTTATGTTTAGAGTTATCCGATTTTTCTAGTGATAGGAGGTAGTAACTAATAACTATTCGATAATTTAGTTAATATTGCATGCAAGTTGGATCTGATGCGAATATTTATGGTAAAAAAACAACTTTTGCTAGTGTGTATATACAAATATATAATCCATTATAATGTAATTAACTTTTTCAGATATGGCTATAAAAAGTCGAAATGTAAGCCATGCTATTTTCATCATGTCATTCACTACAACTCTTGTAACAAAATTTATCCACATTAATGACTAATTTATGATATTTACAATTTTAAATGTGATATGTGTCATTGATATCCACATATACCGTTATGCACCACCAAAGATGGGATCCGGCTCCCCTCCACTTGAGGAAATGGAGGGAAGGGGTAATGGAGGGGAGCTAAATCCCCACCGGAGATGGCAATGGATATAATCCATTCACCTTTAGTTAATAAGATATTTTGAGCTTGAATTTCGAAAAATAAAAAAATCATGATTAGAACATTTCCACAGATAAGGTACCATTAAGAATTCTGGTAAGGGAAAACGAAAAATTGAATTTTCTTTGTTGGTATATTAATCCTAGTGTTGAAGCTATGATTAATTAGTACTATATATATAATCTAAAAGCAGTTCGGCAATGAACAAACACTTTTTGAACACGTGAGGAAGAAAGAGATATATATATTCACGTGAGAAGAAATGAAAGGAACTATAGTTTGTCCATTTGTGGGCGAACTATCCTTAAAGCTGGTATAATATTATTTTGGATGAATTGAGAGTTAACAGGGATGACGGGGTTAAGGGATGTTAGTTATAGTTCACCCATTGTCCGTTTTGGTGTATGTTTTTAGAGAGTCCATTTTGGTGTTTAGAATTCAAAAAGTGTCTGTTTTGATGGCGGACTCTACTAAATGGGAATTCTCTAACGTCCAAAAACCCAAAGAAAGAACAAAAAATGTGACCTAAATTTCCCAGAGCTTATATATATATATAAATAAATCTCCAAATTTTTACAAAAAAAAATAAAAAATCATTTGTTTACAAGAACAGAGATACATCAATATAATGGTGACAATGCACATTCCGTCATGCTTACTATAACAACAACTACACCTCGGTCCCATACAAGTTAGGATTGGCTATATTCCGTCGTGCTACTGCAAAAATAAAAGACATTACTAGGATTTGAACTTGCAATATATTTCAAACTTCAACTATCATAAAACTTTCTATACAAACAAATAAGCCCACTTGCTCTTTCTCTAACTTGGTTTCTAATGGGGTGTGTATATATATATATATATACAAACTAATTAATCTACATAATACAACGAAAAAAAAAATCAATTTAAAAGAGGCTTCTCCACATCGTACTCACTTTCTGATGATGAATTCGTCATGTTATTATTTAGAAATCCTTCATTCCTTTTCGCCCATAACACGAAATATAGACCCGTAAACATTAGAAACATACCAGCAAGGCTGCAGAACGAAAAAAATTCAATCGTTTTAAAAAAAAAAAATTGATAAAATTGACGAAGAAACAACAGAAGAGAATTAAAATAAAATATATATACCTTCCTGTAGTAATTGTGTCTCTTAAGGTTACAGCAGAAAGAACTACAGTTAACAAAGTTCCAACAGGGCTAAAAACAGAGACCAAAACTGGCCCTCTTTTCTTCATTGCCCAATTATTGAAACTTACACATGCTCCACTAACAATACCTGCCTATTATAAACCACAAACAATGTTTAAAAACAAATCGACGATTTAACTTATATACGTTGACAAAATATCTTAAAGTCAGGCAACTCGTCTGTATGACGAGTTGCCTGACTTATTTGATGAGGGATAGATGAATTACCAATAACGAGTAGCCAATTAAGTCGCGGATACTTAAGAGGGGCAATCCAATTTCCATCGATCCATGTTGAATTAATTGTACAAATACAGTCAATATCATGCCTATAAGTGATGTTATAGCACATAAAGAGATTGGTGCTGGAAAATCACCTAATGTTGCTGCCTGCAAATTCAAAAATTTGAATTTGTAAATTTCTTGTTAATCTTCTCTGTATCGTTTCAATTTTGCGTACTCGTGTGTGTACCTGTAAGACTATATTGCTCGATAACACGAGTATAGCTGCCATGAGATACAATGAACCTTTGATCTTTTCTGAATCGAAATAGTTGTATTTGTGATGTGGAGGTGAAGATGGCAAATTTATTTGACTATTTGTTGTATTTTGCATTAGGCTCATAAGTATTGCCCCTGTAACACACATTAATGTTCCTGCTATTTTAGCTCTGCTGTATTTGCATCTTAGCTCCACTTTCTCTAATCTGCACATAAAAATCAAATTGAAACTAACGATAACGCGTCAAATTCAAGTAAATTGAGGTCAGCTATATAAATTCTCGTGGTTTTAGTCCATAGTAACAAGATTTTTTGACAATATGTTGTTAAATTAGCCATAGATTTTTGTTGTTTAACGACAGAAGTTATTCGTGAAGATGAAATACCCAAAAGCCCAAGCAATGAGAAAGATGAGTCCTGGTGCAAGATTTGGCATAGCTGTTGCCATTGAAGGTGAAGTAAATTTGATTCCCTCCATGAACAAAGATTGGAATAATGTGACCCTGAAAAACAAATAACAATTTGATAAGCTAAATACTTCGAATGACAAAAAGGTTCAAATGACTATGTTATTCAGACTCTCTAAAAATGATGCTAATCCACCAAAAATGCACGGGATGATCCAATCGACGAACACACAATAGAAAGCATTTTAAAGAGTCAGAGCAACATAGGTCAAACATACATAATTTTTACCTTGTTATACTTTAGTTTGGCCCTTCACCCTAGCAAAGCTCTAACTTAAAGCATAACGGAGGGTAAAATTAAGCTAACTTCGAATTAAAGTATGAAACTAACTTTAATTTCATTAGATACAAATGATTTTTTTTTAAAAAAAAAAAGACAAAGAGGAGGAAAAGAAGAAAAAATAACTTACCCTCCAAATGAAATTAGAAATAATTGAATCAATAACTTTAAACTCATTTGCCTGGGCCATTGACTCCTGTATTCAACATTAATATGCAAACATAAGCAAAACTAATTAATATATTAATATGATAATTAATGAAATAAAAAGATATAATTAGTACCTTTCAAATATGAAAGAAAAGGGACAAAGGATGAGAAAAGTAGCCAATGAAGACAAGATAATGAGAGATGAAGGTTTGAAACCTAACAACATAAGATAACTTGAAACCACTGAATTTCCAGCATACATGAATTGTACCCCTATTAATCCTCCTATTATTGAGAAATCTTCTATAATTTCCCTTTTTCTACTTGAAGATCCCATAATCATCTTTTCTCTTTGGTAACAAAGAAGAAATTTTGATATTCCTCTCTGACTTAATTTGTCCTTCTTGTCTTTATTCAACAGAAATTTCGATATCTTTCTCTGGCTTAAGTTGTCCTTCTTTGTCTTTATTCAACAGAAATTTCGATATCCCTTTCTGGCTTAATTTGTCCTTCTTTTCCTTTGTTCACAAAGAAATTCCGGCTTTCTGACTTAATTTGTCCTTCTTTGTCTTTGTTCCCAACAAATTTCAACCCCTCTAGCTCAATTTGTCCTTCTTTGCTTTGTTTATAATGAAATTTCGATTTCTATGACTTAATTTGTCCTTCTTTGTCTTTGTCCATGTAGAAATTCCGATATCCTTCTACCTTCTTTGTCTTTGTTCACGCAAAAATTCCGATATAACCCTCTGGGTTTGTCCTCCTTTGTCTTTGTCACACGGAAATTTTGATATCCCTCTAACTTAATTTGTCCTTCTTTGTTTGTTCAATAGAAATTTCGATATCCCTCTAACTTAATTTGTCCTTCTTTATCTTTGTTCACACAAGAAATTTCGATATCCCTTTGTCTTTCTTTATTTTTGTACCTTTTCATGCATGCATGAAAAATATAAATAAAAATTTATGCTTTTCTTTTCTTCTTCAGCTAACATTCAAAGAAGAAACTCAACGAATATTCTTCCTATGATCTACCTGTCAAGGTTGTTGTCACATTTAATTATTAATAATATTTTATAATGATGTATTTATATATTTTTAACCATATTTAGTACTTGCTATCTTTAGTTTCCCTTCATATATTTGTGGTAGTTTATCTTAAGCTAAATCCTTTGGCTATTGATATCTCAAAAATCGTACGAACCATTTATTGTTTTTCAAGGATTGACTTATTGCGGTCAAGTTTTTAAACTTGTCGATATTTTATTTAGACATTTGAATTAATCTTATTTCAATTGAATACCTTAACTCCTCATAAAGTGTTCCAATTAGACGCATTTGATTCAAAAAAATTTTAAAATGATTGCGTATGTGTTCGTTCATCTATTAGATAGTTAAGTTAACCACATAAAATATATCGTCTACTTTAAGTATATGTGTCATCTTTAATGTCTAGGATTTTACAGCTTATTGAGGTGACTGGTTAAATTAAAGAAACTAAACATATTTTATATGGTTAACTTAACTATCTAATAGACCAATGCAAGCACACGCAAAGGAATTTCCAAAATCTGAATGCGTCAATACTTTATTAGAAGGGAGTTTCACCATGGTGGACACGACGCAAGAAGCGAGGTTGAGATGGTTTTGCCATGGAGATGAGGAGAAGTGCAAAGGTCCATTGAGGAGATGCGAGAGTTTGGATATAGACATATAGTGGGTATGAGGAAAGGTAAAGGTAGATAGAAGAAGTATTGGGAGAAGTGATTAACAGGCTATGACACAACTCCAACTTACCGAGGACAAGACCCGAGGGTGTGGAGGTCAAATTAGAATAGAAGGATAGAGGGTAATGGAGTGTCGTTTGTCGTAGTAATAACCTTATTATTGTAATGTATTGCTTTTGATTTCTTTTATTACGTGTGATTGTTGTGCTTCAGTCATCGCATTATTATTTATAGCTACTTTGATTTGTTGTACTCGAGCATAGGATTTTTCGAAAATTAACCTCTACCTTCATGAGGCATAGGGTATGACTGTTACTATATCCTTCTCAGGCCCCATTTATGAAATTTCACTAGAAATAATGTTATTGTTATTGTTGATGTATTCAATTGAAACGAGACTTAATTTGAATGTCTAAATACAAAATCTTGACAAGATCTATATTACATGTCTAAATAGAATAAGGTCAAAGTTTTCTTGAATTATTACATGTCATGATTTCATAAACAAAATGTTATGCGCAAAGCTATGCCAAAAATTCATCAACTTGAACTAGTCAAGAAATGCTCTGAGCAGCTACTAAGCAAAAGGCAGCAAAATTGTTTCTTCTGTAAGTACTTGAGCAGCACTACGAAACCCCATCAAGAAGATGAATTCAATTCAAAAATCATCTTTATTTCCAATCAGGCACAAACTGAAATTAGTTCTGAAATTACCCTGTTTAAGGACTTTCAAATCTTGAATTCTGGTTCGACGCCTAGTGCTTATTCTCTGGTTAATTTGATCCGTTCATGTACCAATGTTGGTTGGTTTTCTCATGGTGAGCAGCTTCATTGCTGCATTTTAAAATCTGGGTATGTCAGCAATGTCTTTGCTGCCACAGCTTTGGTTAATTTCTATGTGAAATTTCAGTTTTTGGGTAATGCACAACAACTGTTTGACGAAATGACTGAACCAAATGTTGTTACTTGGAATACGTTGATATCGGGTTATGTTCGTTCTGGGAAGTTTACTGCTGCTCTGAACTTGTTTATTCAGCTGGAAAGATCGAAACTTTGTTCTGATTCATACTCTTTTACAGCTGTTTTATCAGCATGTGGATCACTTGGTTTAGTACAACTAGGGAAATTGATACATTCCAAGATTGTGAAATTTGGTGTGGAGTGCAGCATTGTGGTCTCGAATTCTTTGATTGACATGTATGGAAAGTGTAGCTTTGTAGAAGAATCGACGAGGGTGTTTAATAGTATGATGGAGAAAGATATGATTTCTTGGAATTCAGTCATTGCAGCAAATGCAAGAAACAACAGGCTTGATCAAGCATTTGATTTCCTGCGTCAAATGCCTGAACCTGATACAGTGTCATACAACGAGGTAATTAGTGGCGTGGCACAGTTTGGTAACATAGAAGATGCTGTTGATATGTTATCAAGAATGCCAAGCCCGAATTCATCATCATGGAATTCGATAATAACAGGATATGTCAACCGAGGCAGAGCAAAAGAAGCTCTGCTGTTTTTTCAAAACATGCATCTTAGTAATGTTCTTATGGATCAATTCACTTTTTCAAGTATATTGAGTGGCATTGCCAATATAGCAGCTATAACATGGGGAAAGTTGATCCATTGTTGCACAGTGAAGTATGGTGTGAACGAGACTGTTGTTGTTGGAACTGCTCTAATTGACATGTATTCTAAATGTGGGCAAATGAATGAAGCTGACATTCTGTTTGGATGGCTCCCTGTCAAGAATCTGATAACGTGGAACACGATTATATCTGGATATGCTCATAACAGTAATTCAGATGAAGTGATCCGGCTGTTTGAGCAGTTGAAATCGGTGAAAGATTTACAACCAGATGGTATTACATTCGTGAACGTCTTGGCTGCATGTTGGCATAACATGTCTTGTGATGCTGCAAATGACTATTTCGAACTGATGGTCAACGATTATGGTATCAGCCCAATGCCGGAACACTGCTCTTCAATGATTAAGCTCATGGGACAAGAAGGGGATGTGAGTAAGGCAGAGAAAATGATATATGAACTCGGATTTGAAAACTGTGGATTAGTTTGGAAGGCATTACTAGGTGCTTCTGTCACTTGTGGGAATACAGAAATAGCAGAAGTAGCCGCTGCAAAGGTGATAGAATTGGAAGGCGATAACGAGTTTGTTTATGTATTAATGTCTAACATGTATGCATTGCATAAGAAGTGGATCGATGTTGGTGACATGAGGGAGAAGATGAAGGAGAAAAGAGTGAATAAAGAAGCTGGTCGGAGTTGGATTGAAGTGGAAAACTCAAATACAGTTACATCTATAATATGATAAAAAGATTATAACAAAGCCCTTATGCCCAAAAGCATGTATTAATCTGTCTAATAATATCTTTGTGCTGCTTGCTTGAATAAGCATTTATTCATTGCAGTTGCCATCTTGATACTAACAAAAACATGTGAATTATGATAAAACAAGACATCTTTGTTATATAAATGAGCCTCATCCATTTTCAGTATGACAAATAGGCCCAAAAAACGAAGGAAATAAGGATTATTCCATAGTAAATTTCCTAGTAATCAAGGAAACAGAACCCAGTTCAATACATTCAAATATTGTTACCACCCTTATAAAGTTTGAGCAGTCATTAAACAGAACTGCCTTGCCTAGGACAAAATCTTGCATTTCCCTCAAAGAGTTGACAGCTTTCTTTAACAATCTGCTAACGAAGTCACCTTGGTACCGATAAACCCAGCTCTATTGCCACAAACAACAAAAGACTCGTATCAGGAGAAATATCAAGAGGCGAAATACAAATTCAAAGATCAAAACTAGGTTAGGTTAGATTCCTTAAATCAATCAAATACATTTTGTTGTAGATACAATTGCCACTAAAGGGGGGGGGATAGAACTAAGTGTTACATACAAGACAATTTTGCATTCAAGTATTTGAAAAAGAAAAGGGTAGGTTTATCTCTGATGCATCTGTTTCTCTACAATAAGCAGATGATACGTCTGAAAATATGGTTTAAAGCCAAGGCAAAATATCTTGTAGCTAAATTCAAGCAGATACAACCTCCTCTTGAAGAGCAAAAAATTTCACGTTCCTTCAGTATCATCTGGGAAAATGAAAATTCTTGTTACCAAAATAGGCTTTGTCAAATAGGGGCATAATAGCTTAACATAAAAACAACTGAAGTCAGACAATGATTTTATGACAGACTCCTGTAGGATTTTTGTTCTTCCTTTTTCTTTTCGGCGAAACCCTAGTGGTGACGGTCCAAAAATGATCGCCTCTTAGCTTATACTTTGTCCTACACAATTTGAAAGACAAATCTACCTATTCCACTTTTCTAACCACTTCAATAAAACATCAAATTCAATGAGATTCCAATTTACTTGCTATATGTTATAAGCAGATATATAATTTAAAATCAAAATCATGGAAGTATTTAAAGATTACTTTTTTTATAAGAAAAATGCATGGAAGTTACTAAAGATCAATCACTAATGCATTAAATCTGCTCCTTGTAGGCTCCTAATAGACTCCGCCTGTCTAACAGTCATAGCAGGACTCTCAAAGACAAAACTAGACCAGTGACAGATTTCATGATAAACCTATATTTTGGGTTTCTTAAAGAACGACAAGATCATTTTCATAGATAAGATTGCTATAATTCTTGAGAGCACTTCTAATGCTGACATTGACTTAGAAGTGCTTATATATACAGATGGTGGGCAGACATGGAATTATTATGACCTAAAAGTCCATGCAAAACTTTTCCGGCAAATAAAAGAGAAATGCAAATCACAAAAAGAGAAATAGTGGATGAGAGTATGAAAGAACTCCCGAGCAAGTTGAGGTTGGCTCTATGAAGAAGATTATTTACTTCATTAAGTATTGCTGAACCCATCATTCTTTTACCCTAGAAAGAGCCTACAACAACATGGCTCCTAATAACATTTAACAGTCTTGTCACTAGACTGAAACAGCTTTTACAATATCTCCCTCACCCTAACCACCACGCAGAGCCCCCGGAAGACACTTTAAACATGGGAAAATCATTCAACTAACAGATGAATTTTAGTGATTATGAGCTTTCAATTATTATTAATATTATTATTTGATCGCTAAGGGATTATGAGCTTTCAGTTTGCGGAGTAAATCTTAACCTTTGGAATCACTTGAAAGCAAGGAGCTCTCAAAAACATATTCTCAGAACATTACCAATCAAATGAACCTTCTTAAAAATGGTAAGATGCAGAAACACAATTTTCCAAAATTCCCGAAGCGCTACTATGACAAATAGGTAAAATGACATAATCAACAACAAGATAATAAAATTTTATTCATTCAGAAAGCTTTTACTTAAAAGTTTTTACATTCAATAATTGCATGTGAAGGTTGCGAAAAGACAAATTGCATCCCTAGACAGAATTCACTTCCATCCTACTCATTTAATAGTTTTCTTAAGACTGCTGATAAAACTTGGTGCTAAGATAGGAACGCACTTAAGCAAAATAGGAAGGCCTGTCAAATCCCAGTATATTTCTTTCATGCTTTTGGAAACTCATGTGCCTGCAGGAACCAAATATTCCAGTCAGATAAGCTGATCAAAACCTTCCACCTCAAAATATATGTCCATTTTTGGTTACTCGGGAAGGTGTTCAGGATATTTATATTTTTTTATAAGCAAAGTTTTGGTAAATATATTAGTGAACATAGAGAAGAACAAGCATGAGAAGATTTATATCTGGTTTAGGAGTGGAAGGTTTCGGCCCAAACCAACTTGGACTGCAATTGCTTCAGGGGAGGAAAAAGACATATACTAGCCCAGGGCCCAAGTAAGCTTTAGAGCTTTAATGGTTCATCAGCATAAGCCTTGGTTTTCAAAGAATCCGACTACATACCCTTTACAACCAGTCAACCACCACCACACTCTCCCAGAAGAGAGAACCAAAAGTATCTTGAGTTCAAGAAAAGTCAAACAACAAAACAGAGGTTTAACGATAAATACAGACCATTACTTATTATGTTTCACCCAAATTGACTTTTCCTTTGTTTTTAAAAGAAACTAGTGAAATGATTTTCAAAAGTCATAAATGAATATCCAATTTCACAACTAATAATGGTTGGTTTCATCCCTGTTAGTTGCTACTTGCTAGTCCTAACTTCTTAGTTATTCAACAAGGTAAAACCACAACTGCACAACCATATGTTAGGTTCTTAGATGTACAGAGACAAGAGAGTTCACCATCTCACTTTTACTTCGTTGGTTTTTCATTCATGATAAAGAAATATTTCTTTCAGATTTCTCCTTCATTTTCTATAGTACAAGTGAGATGATAGAACACTATTGGGTGAATCTATTTCTATTGCTAGTCACTACAAATTATAACAAACCTGTGAAACAAGTTATATGGTAACTTGCCTACCCCATCCTATGTGGAAGTCTAGAAGGAGCTAGTAAGGCAAGGATGATAGGCATACTCCTCTACAATTTATACTCAATAGAAGACACTCTCCCACACAGTTTACTGATGAAAGGGAGGAGGGAAGTCATTCCTCAAGAGCTTTTCTGCCCCTATTCGAGTAAATATGTCCAATTTTTAACACAGGATGCAAGAAACAGATGCACCATATCTAAATATTTCTCAAAGTACATGAAGCTGGTTCAAGGTATAGGTAGAGCTAATTACCTAATAACACTAGCACATTGAAATAGGAGAAGAAGGAGAAGAGCACCAGATAAGGCAAATATGTTAAAACAATTTTCACAAATATGATGAAATAATTCTATATGTTTCAGTAAAAGGAAGTTTGAGAATGTGATCAAGCCAATTCAAGACTGTGCAACACTAACTCAACTTCTGATTGGTACGGGTAATTGTTGCCAAGCGGTTTTGCACATTCAAAGTAATGACCATACTGGTTTGCCATTCTTAGGACTTCAACATACTGTCACCTCCAGCAAGAAGACGTATTGATAAGAAAGTTCATTTTGATTGCAAGATGTTGCAAGTGTTTTAGTAATTTTTTGAATTCTATGAAAATCCTTTCCTTCGGATATTAGCAATTATTAGTAAATTAAGCATTTTAAAAGCTCCCCCTGCTCCCAATAAACGCTCGGATTTGAATCTCCAATTATAACATCTACGGAAACAGATATCACAACAAAAAGATAAATTAACATTTAACAACCATGTACAAACAGTAAGAACAAGCACATACTTCTTTTTTATTTTGTGGTAGTAATAAATGAACATGCTAGAGGTCTGGAGAGGTGCAGCAGAGTGTACCCTGTGAAAGAGCTCTGCAACTCCTCGATGTTGAGCTCAGGCATGACGTCATCCTCGCCGTAGCAACTGCATTGTGTAGTGGCAACATTGACTGCACTCCTCCCAGCTCCGACGGAATTCTGCAAAAATTAATAACGTAAATATACTAAAAAACACTAGGAAAACATAAAATTAACAAACAAAAGAGTAACAGCACAAATGTTCAATCAATCAGCTAAAAATGATGCAAACGTAATTTTACTATATCCGGAATATGAAGCGGATATATTCTGTAGAAGTAACTGTAGCTGAAAGTACCTTGAAAAGGATAACCGGCGGAGAGGAGACGAAGCAGATCTGGTTGAAGCAGAGAAACTGGAAAACGACGTCGTAGAAGAAGCGGATTGGGAATTGAGCTTAATTGCAGATCTGATAGAGGAAATGGAAGCCTTATTGATAATTCTGCTACACCTTGAAGCCATTGTAGGGAGAGTTTTGGTTGAAGGCCTCGGAGCTATGGTGGATACAGTGTTGATTGGGTTTAGGGTTTTAGCCCAAAGCCTTTTTCCAAATTCGTCGTTTCAGTCCCCGTAATTACGTATTTGGTACACATGTTTTCTTAGATGTAAACTTCAATCCTTTCTTTTTTTCCTTTTAACATTCGGGTCATGCGAGCATTTTGATTAACTTTTCAATCAATACGAATTATCTTTCACCAATTCAAATATGACGTGAGTTCTTACCTACCTCGATTAATTAATTCATCAAATACATGGTATTTCTCATCATAAATTTGATGCAACTCTTTTATCAAGATTAAAATTTATGAGAAAAAATTATATAATATGTTATTTCATCTTCGTTAAAATTTGAACGTAAAACTTTAAGATTCTTCGCACTTAATCAAACACTAAACAACATCATTAAATGCAAACTTCAATTCTTTTCTTTATTTGAAAATTAGTGTTAGGCTAACCACTAAATTGCATAAAATGAAACCTTTTTTTTTCAATAGACAATTTCAATAGTATGGAAATCAACATCAAAATCTAGACCAAATCTCCATCGTGTTAAGCATTTTGCCGTAAGTGTATCAAATTTATATTATGGTCGTGTTATTCGTATGAATTTCGCCGAATGCAACAAGGAAAAAAAAACTAGAAATAAAGCTAGTCCAACAATTAGAAATAACAATATAACTTCATCGACATCTTCTCGACTCAAAACATTAAAAAAAATATTCTCTCGTTTTGATTTGTTTGGTTGGATATGATTTTACACGAGTTTAATAAAATAAAAATAAAAAATTGAAATTTGTGATCTTAAATTAAAAATATGTGAAATATATCAACATACTATAATTTAATTTTATGGTTTTAAACATATCACGTGGTTATAACTATCATCTTTTCTTAAACATATCACATGGCATTAATACAAACAAATTGCAACGGAAAGAGTAACCATCATCTTCTTCTTTTTCTCCAAGCTAAAATGCATATGTTACACTTTATAAGTTAGACCAGCCATGTCAACACACAATTTTATATGATTTTGGAGCTTTACTTCTTACTTTTCTAGCACTATTTTCCTTTCATCATTCTATAATATTTTGAATAATCAAAAATATCTTTTAGCGTATCTCCTTTCAATAGTATTAGTATGATATAGATGGCTATATAGTGTAGAAAACTTCCTAATCTCTCTATATTATAAAATTTGTCAATTTCAATATTGTAATTAATTTGTTCGTAATACATCTCTTTCCATGGTTTATTTTAAGTATAAATCATGCCTTATGTATCTAAACAATTAATCAATTAGTACTTGATTAATGATGGAAGTTCAAATAGCTCACTTTGAAATTGAATTCTTTTTTCCCAGCTACTCTTTCCAAATAGCCTAGACTTAATCTTGCAATTACCAGTTCTTATTAAGAACAATAAAGAAATAATCAAGCATAATATTTTGAAATGCGTAAAAAATTACAAAAATTCATATGTTCGTAATATTTACATCAAATTAATAAATATAAAATTTTATTTTTTTCATACACATACTTATCACTTATTCACGATTAAGTAACATATTCTTACTATAATTTTTAACCACTAAGCTTAAATTGCTTAGTTTCATATACATATTATGCATGGATAAATATTTATTGTCCAATAAAAATTATCCTGTCTTTGTTAATTCCCCATTAAATGTAGAAAAAATCCATAAGCTTTTCACTTTTCACTCTATAAGAAAGTAAAATTAAAACGAAGAAGCCCAAAACTAAGAGGCGAAGTTAGGATTTTCATTTCATGAATTCTGAACGATTTTAAGAAAAATAACTGAATTCTAAATTTAATATTTTTATATAATTAATGAATTTATTAACCAAACTGCATAGAAGCTATTAGGTATGCGCCCCGGTGAATCCCACTAAGTCACAAAGGTAAACAAACTTTCAATTCTTCTTTGACTTTTTTATCTCCCTTTCTATAGTTCAACCCAACAAGAATGATTCACAAAGAATATATATAGAGAACCTTTTGAACCATAGTTAAAGAATGTTCTTTTTACTTCTTCTTTTTCTGTGTGAAATAGCTTTACAACATCATCTTATCCATCACTATCTTTTAAATACATCCATCCAAAAAAAATAAAAAAATATAAGCAATCAAATCATAAACACAATGAAAAGATCAAAACCACCATTCCCAAAAAAGTGGTCCACTTTGATGTTGTTCTTGTTCTTCTTCTACTTGATGATGATGTGTCATGTTCCAATGATGGCGTGTACTTAAAATTCGGGTTTGACCCATATAAAGCTTGGACCCCTTCCACGTCATCAAGCTTCAAATCCCTTTTCTTCGTTCTTGGGCTTAAACTTGGGTACATTACTGCATCTTTAACCGATGAATGAGCAAGCCCAAGTACATGCCCAATCTCATGGGTCGCCACCGATTCTAAATCCACAGCCACCTTCGATCCCTCTTCATCAAAATCAACGGCCCATGTTTCCGCCGCGTCTAAATGGAACCTCCCGTTCTCCGGCGAAAAAGCGTGAGCTAACACTCCCAACACTCCGTCGAAAGGTTCTCCGTCGCCGTGATCACCGCTGTAGAAACCGATTTTAATATCCGCTGTGAGGTAATCCTCTGTTTCAGTGAAATTCACCGGAATCGCAGAAGACCACCGCGCAAACGCTCGTTGAAAAACGGATCTAATTTCCGATGCGCCGATGTAATCGATCATTGAATTCGGTGAGAAAGCGTAAGATAAAGTCATCGGAGATGTTTTCGTCCACCTAGGTCTCCCGTAAAAGTAAGCGTAATTTTTTGTAGTATGTATCGAGCTGTGATCGTGAACTAAATCGCTCATACCGCAACGCGGAAGCATAATTTCGTTCATCGTTTCGTCGTCTAGATTTCCGGTAACTGTTAATCCGAGGCTTTTCTGATAATTGAGTACTGCAGACTCTAAGTCTTCGTCGAAAAAATCGGTGAAATTTTGATCGGGAATCGGCATATAGCCAAACCGCTGGAAGTATTTTTTGAGCTCCGACATGCCGGTGACCTGACTGCCTTTTCCGGCGTCGATTAATTTAACGAAAGCATGCCACGTGTTGTTTTGAATATCGGCGGCGAGTTCAGTTAACGGATCCTGTTGTAGTATTCTGGCGGGAAAAGATGGGAGCGAAAGGAGGAGAAGGAACAGAGCAAAAGTGAAATACAAATAATTTGGAAACGGAGACATGAAGGTTAGTTTTTTCTGTTGGATTATAGTTTATTGGAGGGATTTATTAGAAGTAAAGGATATGGTTAATGATTTATATATAGTAAAATGAAAAAAAAAAATTATACTATAGTTTAATTGAATGTTTTTTTTTTTATAACATAGTATTTGTTGTTGGTTAATAGGGATAAGATGAAGGTACAAGAAATTAAAATAGTATGTGATGAAGCTAATGAAGATTCTTTCGTGTGTGCCTTTTCTATTCAGATTCTGACTTTTCATGGATGCAATTGGTGGGTGAACCACTGTATTTGGTATCCTATTATTTTAATAAAAACTCATTTAAAATTTAATCTAATTTATAGATTTGATAGTAAGTATTACTTTTAAATGATCTAATAATAATTAAATTAGTTCTTTTGTACATAAAAGTTAAGGATTGTTTTATAACATACTATTACGTGGCTAATTTTGATTATTAAAAGATAGACGATTTTCTCTAGATGTTTCAAATGAACAAATCAAAATGAAAATCAGGCAATAATTTTTCAATGTAACGTCTATGATAGAGAGCAGGCCGTCAAGAGCAAGTCAAAGTGGACAAACAATACAAACTAATTTTCTAACAAAAGGAGTGCATGTTACACCTAGCAAATCTCACATTAGAATTAGCCCAAAAAAAAGGGAAGAACTTATAAGTTCATACAATATATTTATTTTTGGTCCGATAATAGCATAGCTTAAGGGGGAAATTTGTGAAGTTCATTAGGATTTAGGCCAAAATTGAATAATACGTATCGTTTGGCATAATTGTATCGTGACATTCAACCCCTTAACTTTTCTTTTTTGTTTAGAAATTTTCTAAAACTCTATGAAAATAATGAAATGAGAAAACAGATAAATGAGTTTTATTATAGAAATTAGAAGATAAAGGGCACACGAATTGTATTTTGAATTTTTATAAAATAAAGTCGTGAAGTAATTCAAAGTAATCTAGAAGAATAGGGGAATTTCCTTTTTTTTTTTAAATATTTCTATTAAGTTTTTCTGTTTCAAGTATTAAAATCCAAAGTTGTCTTTGCTTCCTAAACTCTACAAATTCCAAATCAAGTTGGATTAACGAACCATAATTAAGTCACCTACAAAATCAATATTCAATAATCAATACATACAAAATTTCTAACCTAAAATACACTTGTTTGAATGGATAGTTTAAAGTATTAGTTGAAGAATTCCATTCATTTGTTGACCAAATTATTAGGTGATTTTGACATAACCTTTGCAATATGTCATTCTAAATGAATACTTGAGTTTCTTACTTATTATTGTAAAGCAAAAAATTAGGACATCTACTATATGTTTAATTACCTGCTTTAGGCAACGTGGCCTTTTACCTAAAATGACAAAATCGTTAAGTACAAACTTGTTACCCAAATTAAGAAATTGTCAATCAAAGAAACACTCTTTTTGAAACAGGCATAAAAAAGTAATGCAAACAAATTAAAACAGGGGAATATATTATGGTCAACATTCACCTTTATCAGTTCTTATTTGAATTATTCATGATCATGACCGAGTTGTTTGAGCAAGTGATTTCTCAAATGGGGATCACAAATTTAAAACCCTTACAGTCTTTATTAGTCGAGCTGGTCGCACGAAATTTGTTTAGTGCAATTGACCTCTTCAGTACAATTATAGTAGATGATGATCAACCTCTTGTTGAGAATCCCATCTAAATTACATATTTAACTTATTGATAAAAGTGTAATATAATAACTAATTATTTCTTCAAAAATGTACTTCCTTCGTTCTAAAACAGTTGTAACATTTCACTTCTCGTTTCTTGAGAGTTAATTTGATCAATTTTTAAAGCTAAATTAGATTAGATTAAATCATATTTTAAAATTATATTTTAGATATTGTAATTTTTTTCATATCAATGATGAAAAAAAAATATCTTAAAGTATTTGTCAAAATTCATATCTTTTGAATTACTTCCCTCTGCTCAGTTTATGTGACTTACTTTCCTCTTTTAGTTAGTCCAAAAAAGAATGACACATTTTTATATTAAGTAACAATTTGACTGTAAAATGTCTATTTTATATTTAATGAAATGATTTACAGTCATACAAATTTCTATCATTCATTTTGAACTACAAGTTTTAAAAGTCTTCATTTCTTTTTTAAACTCCGTGTCGAGTCAAACTACCTCACATAAAATGAGATGGATGGAGTATTTTAGAAGGGAGGAGTATATAATAATCGATTTGTGGATTTTATCAGCCTAGCTAACATTGAGTTTTGTCAAAATAATATAAGTGTGTTATTTTTAACATTAATAAGCAACATTGAAATTGCAACATACAATATTTTATAGAGCCAATAATTTTACATTAGTCCAAAGTTTGAGAATTATATATTTCTTATAAAAATAATATATCGGACTAATATTAAAAAATGCATAAGGATTTGCATAAATATATGTATAATTCTCTTTCTGTTGAAATTTATTTGCTATATGGATTCCATTGACCTTTTATTAGGTCTTACTTGAACGCATTCAAAAAAGTGTATATAATAGCAACAACTAACTATTATTTTTAAGAAAATACATGGATAGTACTACTCTATTTGCAGATTTTATTAACCTAAAGTTGAATTTTTCTCAAAATAATAAAAGTATAGGAGTATTATACTTTAAACATTAAACAACATTGAAAATGTAATGGATAATGTACTTTACAGTTAATTGAAAGAATAACACTTTTGATCCTTCCCTTATTAGAAAAATCTTATTTTGGTACTTGTCAGTTGTCATATATGACTAAATACTTTTGACGTCTAATTAATTGAAATGTGAATCCATTTTATTTAGGAAAGGTGTTACATTTAAATTATTTTTAAAAATATATTACACTCAAATATGAAGTTACAATACAAATTTAACATAATATACTAACAATTAAACTGTGAAACAATTAATAGTTCTGAAATTTTTTAGTATTCTTAAGGAAAGAAATTAAGAGCGAATTGGAGATTAAATGTGCTTCTTCATATATTACAAGTACTAAAATTAAAATTTATAAATAACTAAAGGACTAAGTGTGTGTGACATTAACCTTAACTATTTTTTATAGTACCAACATTGAGAATATGCTAGACTTTTTCTTGGAGAATATTATTAGGTGACACTTAAAAAACATAATTGAAAATTTCAACCAAAAAATATTATTTTACTTTCATTTTTTGCCCAACCTTCCAAAATCAAACCATTAAGTATAATATTGCTTATGAAAATGATTAATCTTGAAGGTTAATAGAAGTTATAGGTTTAAGTTTCTCCAACATCGCTTTCAACGTACACAAGTGAAAGCTATATTGGGATGACCAAAGTGTTTACACATAATGCAATATATACTTTAACTCTTAGTGTGGTAGTTGGTCTTGAAGGGGGCACATAATTTTCTTCAAACATATTTTGATAATTATGATGTTCGGATCAATTTGTAGGTACCTTAATTAATTTCATATGGTACATGCATCTACTTCCAATTGTCACATGTATCGAGACCCGAATAACTCTATAAATACCTAATATTGTTGCATACGTTGTAATTTCAAGTTTTAAACTCCAGACTTCTTGATTCTCAACTTGTTTCATTGATCATTTAATCATATGCTTGAGTGTATTTTTTTTATTTTTATTTTAATAACTGCGTATTCGGACCAACTTGTGTGCACTTTTAAATTTATTTTCTTTCAATGGCCGACTTTTGCCAAGATAATAAATGTGTCTTCTAGTAAGTGTCATCTTACTTAATTACACCATCTGCCAGAAAGAAGTATGAACAATAACCTTGGATTTTCCAAACTCCCCATGTAATTAATTTTATTTTTTAGAATCCAACATCTAATTATTAACAAAGAGAAACAAAACAATACTTAATAGTTACTTTAATAGGCTCAATACAATACAAGGGACAACAAGGTGGAATAAGTGTTAATTTTCTTCTATTATAAGTTCTCTATTGTTAACTTGTTATGTATAGATGTTAATAGTGAAAGTGATGTAAACTAGGAATATATATTCTCCTCATGTAACAACATATATATGTTAAAATAAGATTTAACAACTGTAATTTCACAATTGAAGTCTAAAAGGATGACGTACAACCATACTTTGCCGCCTTATCTCTATCTTGTCCTCTGTTGCGTGCTTTGATACGAATAAGGCATGAAAAAGTATGGAATTGGGGTATACTTGCACTTTCCTATGTTTATGGATAACCAACTCTGGTCCCATGCATTATATTATCATATATCGTTATGAGCATTTATGTTGATAAATCAGTTCACATACGTAGAGGGTTTGTAGTCATGTTATTTTAACGTATCTAAGCTATATACATTGACAATATAAAAAAATTATGTATCACCAATTTTAGTACAGTAGGACGTAGTTTACTATTTAATATTTGTTATAAATATAAATATTTACCTAAAATTAATTATCTTATAATTGGGTTAATTTTTTTAAAAAATATTTTTGCGTCATGGAACTTAATTTTTTTTCATACAAATATCACACTTCTTTTGACACGAATTAAGTATACATGTAATGAAAAATGTGTTTATTCATGGTCCAAAAAATCTCTCCAAAAAAAGCACGTAGTGCTCCATAATTAGTTCATTAGCCATAAACAAAGACGACGACGACAACAACAACAAATCCAGTGTAATCTCATGACATAGAATCTGAAAAGAATAGAATGTACGCAGACGTTATTACTATCTTACCGGCAGAGAGGTGTTTCCTATATTATCTGGTGGAAAAGGGCTTGGATTTCCAATTAGACTGACACATACATGATACATGTGAGATGGGCCTATGGCTAACATTCACAGCTGCTCTATGTATATAGATTGGATTGGGCTCTATGTTGGAAAAGGCCTTCAAGATTCAAGACACCATTTTGAACTAAAGTTTGGTATAATATTGATTTCAAGTATCCAAAATTCATGTCTCTTTGTACTTCCGTTACTTTTTTTTTTATAATTGTTTTAGATTATTTTCTCTTGAGTTGAGGATTTATTGAAAACAACTTCCTTACCTCTGAGAGGTAGAGGTAGAGTCTGCATACAATCTACCTTCCTCGTACCCTACTATGTAGAACT